CCTCCTCCTCGCCGTGAGCAAGGCCTGTCGACGACATGAAGAAACTTCTGAGGCACCCTCAGCTACAGCCAGCGAAACGATTCGGAGCCGTCATATGTCGAGCCCTGCGAAGCTAACGAGTTTCTAGGAACTGACGCATTCTGCTTGATGCGGGTGACGACAATGTCCTTCACAGCTTACCGTTTCGCTTCGGTCACCTTTCACCTGGAGTGAAAATACTTGGATGACTCGCACAGCCTGCGAGCTTAAGAATCGAAACACCTGTTCTCACGGGTCGTTTAACCGCCCCTACATCTCAGAGTCCTACGCTCGCGACAAGAGTAGCAGTCCAGTCGACGAAAGCAAATGCTCCAGACACACGGTACAGCTTCTTACAGCCGCAATGCAGTTTTGGGCCAATGAAACTGCGCGTCCGGTTCGGCCTTGCCTATTGCAGCAATCACGGCCAACTGCCAGAGCCACCGCATGGCCCAAGGGCCCAAGAAGCCTTCGACACATGCGAGATCTGTCTGAGCTCAGGCGTTTTTCAGGACTCGAGCACCGTAGTCAAAAGGGTTGACTCCTGAAGCTACAGTAAGAAACTCGGCTGACCAACCTCATGCAATGTCGGGACGAGATTGGGTCTTGCTGTTCAGGCCCCCTGACTCTGACCCTTGAAATCAAACTGTGCAAACGTCAATTGAGAATTATGATTCAAGCGCAGACTCTCTCAGACCTGACCAACACAAGACTCTTTGTCGGCAATCCGAGCAGCAAAGACACATAGAATTGCGATTTTGCAGTCAGAAGTTGCTGATTTCAGGGTCAGACTGGGCTTTTAGGAAGTTCCGTTTGGGATTGGGTCAAGAAGGTGGTGAGGCAGTCGAGAGATGCTCCCTTCCCACGAGGCGCCCCACACGCTTGTCCGGCACAAGCTACCAAGCCGGGTCGGGGCAGGGCAGGCAAAACCTGCGGGCCAAATTCGGCAGCAAGCCAAGTTCACGATAGCGGGACCTAACATGTGCAAGTGCGGGCAGCCACGGTCACGTCTCGAGTGATCGGGTGCAAGTCATGTGAGCCTGAGACACCTTCCTGCTTTAGACCATAGCTCTCAAGAACTCGGGCACCGAAGCACATTGCTGATGGCTG